AACTAGTCATCACCACCCACTGCCAACTCTTGGGCTACTCTTTTACCAACGAATAGTGGGATTGACCGTCACATTATAACAGGGATTCGAACCCATGACCTTAAGATTGTGAGTCGAGTGCCTTAACTACCTGGCCATGCTGGGCCTTAACAGTTCATGCTTTTAAAATGGAATACTCATGGATTCTCCAGTGACATATTTACTAAACTAGTTTGAGTCACAAATGCTGGTTAACAATCAAATAAATAACAACACATTTCTGAAAGAAGACATTTGTGAAATGAAGGTTGTAGTTTACCTACAATTTGCCATAAAGTCAGTAATTCCAAATATTAAAATAAAATAATTTTTTGGTGTAGTGTATCTTACATTTGCAAGTTGCCTCCTAGAACTGACACACTGAGGATTATTCTTGTGAACATTTGTAAACATGTTCGAACTTCAAGCTTTCTTCTACCACCATCTCATGATGACTAATAGATTGTAAATTTTACTATGCATTGAAAAACCAGTTTCCAAATAACTAAATTACATTAAAAAACATTTATAATTATTACAGTATAATACACACATTATTCAATTTCTACATTATTGCTTCAAATGCATAACTGTAGCTTTACATCCAAAAATACATTTAAAATATAATTCTAATCTTTTTCAATACATTTTGTATTAAAAAATGGTTATGTAGTTAATTCTAGATAAAAAATTTTAAAACGCCTAAATTTTCATTTCTGTAATGAATATAGACATCTGCACTGTATACGATGCTTTTTAAATTTCTGATAGCTTATATTTGTTCTTACAAATAAACTATGTAAAATAACAAAGAAAATTACAATGATTTTAACCTGCTAAAGGCATTATACGCTAAGCTATGAATCTATTCATTGAGCTCAGACACATAGTATCTCCAAGCAGTCTTAAGAAAAAGGCAGGTATCTCAATTTCAAAAATGATATGCCCTCCAGTTAAAAATTATTGTAAAAAAAAAAAAAAAGAGTTGAATTTCAAACCTTGTGTCAACTTTCCAATCATTATACCTTTAAAAGTTTTGAAAAAGAAATACAGTAATGCTAAAGTTGAAACTTTTTACAGTTTATTGCAGCTGATACTGAATTAGTCTCATATACCATTAATTAATGAAAGCAAAATAAATATTCTTCTCTAGTAACATTTTACATAAAGATGTGACCACAAACAATTACTTCTCATATGGTACTTATGTAATCTTTAGTAGTTATATAGCTTCTTTAAAGGACAAAGGCAATATAAAATAATAAAGAGAAATATACTGATGAATATAAAATATATTAAAACTGTATACATATTTTGAACCAACTAATACAAAAACATTTAATTTTTCTTGTTTTCTTCATATTTTAAAGTTAATTTTACTATTTGTTAATGATACCATATACAGACAGAAAATTTTTAATTTTAATGAAGAAACATTGGATAAATTTATAAGATTTCAGACACATACACAAAAGAAATGTCTAAGACAAGGGAGAAATATTTTAATTTTCTTTTTTAATAAAAACATTTTTACAATAGAAACTTAGAGATTTCAGATGATAAAAATTCATACAAATAATAAATCACATTGTATGCTTTTTTTTCATATAGAAATAATATTTAGAATTCTGTATCAAGTTTTTGGCAATTTGACTCAGTAGTTTTAATTTGCAAACTTTGAATACCGGGCACCTGGAGAAAAAAGTTAAAGCTAGAGAATTTAAGCTGATGCTAAAGAGTACTTAAAACTATAAAGAATATTGAAAAACAAACTACTTACATGTCACGATCCTTCTGGTCAGCTTTCTCCAATAAACCACTAATTAGTGAACCTAAACAGTTGTTATAATCATCAAGTGTAGGCGTTCCTGGGAGTTGTGAAAGTTGATTGAACCCTTGATATGTTGCATACTCTTCATACAACCACGTTAGACCAATCTCAAATCTGTTGCGAATATCTTGAAATATAAACTCTTCTAGCACTGTAAAGAACCAGTGAAAAAAATAATACTTTGATTCTAAACTGATCTAAAGAAAAATAATAAAACATTACTGAGAACATCAGTTTGACAAGGAATGGTAACATAATTGAAAACATCAGCTTGACAAGGAATGGTTACATTACTGAAAACATCAGCTTGACAAGGAATGGTAACATTACTGAAAACATCAGCTTGACAAGGAATGGTAACATTACTGAAAACATCAGCTTGACAAGGAATGATAACATTACTGAAAACATCAGCTTGACAAGAAATGGTAACATTATTGAAAACATCAGCTTCACAAGGAATGGTAATATTACTAAAAAATATTAAATGGACAACCAAGGAATGTTAATATTACCAAGAACATCACGCTAACAGGGAGAAGCATTACAGTGACTCACTGGTATATTCTTCTAAGGTTGGCCATTTGCCAAGAAAACATCTCTTTTTTTTTCTTAATTTAAACTTATGAGAAAAACCACTTCTAAAATAAAATCAAGACAGAATTTCAAAAAGATACCTGTTTAAACTACCACCTATTCAAAAACACTATCTATAACTACATTTGTGTGTCTGTATATATATACTGTTCCTAAAGGAGGCTAGACAGGGATAGGTTAAGGAAAAGGCACAAAAATGAAATGTACTGGAGTCATAAACTGAGTTTTTAATATGAAATGTAAGAACTTGGTCCAATAATATTTAAAAGCAAAGAAATTATATAAAACCGTACAAGTATAGAAAATTTGAATGGATAACTACCTAAGCTTCAAAAATGAACTATTTAATGTACCACAGTGAACAACACTACTATAAATATATAAAGGAAACAACCAAATAAATGTAAAATTATTTTATACTGTTCTTATTGTTTGTTTGTTTGTTCTATTATAAGAGCCTGCTCATCTTAACAGTAAAGGTTTGGTACATAATAATATTTCATGTATATTTATCTAGTTACCTCTATATATTAGACTACAGCAAGCTAAGAAATGTCTAAAGAATTCACTAGTAGAAGAATTTCCTTCTATAGTTAAGTTAGGCTTGGCATTTAGAAGTTTTCTTCTAACACTGAGTTCACTATTCAATTCAAACATACACTTACTTACTGATTATATGTGTATAAATGATTGGAATGTAAAAAACTTAATTTTGTTTATAACAACTATTTCAAAATTTAACTTGACTTTCAATGAAAGAATGAGCTAAATAAGAAAAAAAATGTATCATTAACAACAGAAAACTGGATGAAAAAAATCTATACATATAATTTTTGTAAAGTAATACTATTATGAAGATTACTTCATGATCCAACAATACAACTGCTTTTCAGTCAGTGTAACAAAGTCCATCTATCTGTATTTACTATTGGAGAAAATGTTTTACATTGCTACTTCTCATTTTAAGTAGCTCTTGACAAAATATTTACTTCTAGTTCAAAACGTTGTCTCCAACAAAAAATTACATGGTCTTCCAAACTGTATTGAGAAATACAAAAAAAACCAATAACAAACAGAATAAAACTGGCTTACTTTCAGCTACTTTTCCCCGGAACTGTGTTGCTAAGCTGGCTAATACTCTTCTGCGAACCTATATCAACATTAATACTTTTTTTTTTACATATAATATTATACATCATTTTTTTTCCTAGTTTAAAAAATAGGAAATCTTTAATCTATTTTTCTTCCAAAAAATTAATTAAACAATCATAGTATCTAATTTTACAATCATTCCACAGAAAGCTAAAATCCATTTATTATTTACAATCACAACTAGGTACATAAGAAAAAAAAACTGCCATTTGTAGTATATTTGAATAGTGGTGATTTTGTAGTGATGAAAATTGTGAACACTCTCAACATAGGTGCCCGAAACCTTGCCAAATTTTGTGAAGATACACATACTATATTAAAAATTAGTAGTATTAAAACTATAACAAGTACAAAATGGTCATGTGGTTGGTCAAAATTGACTTAAACATTAAGTCTTTTATACACAAAAAACCAGATTTTTTAATTAAGAATTTTTACTAAAAATTTGTCTGTGAATATATGGAGCCAAAGTGTTGACTGTTCTGTGTGCAAAGTGATTTTCATGTTAACCTTAAAAATACTTTTTTCATCTCAAAAATTTCAAATTTCATTTGTATAATCTCTAAAACCTCCTAAATACATTTCAAACGTTTTATTTTCAGTAAACTTTATATTTTATCCGTTATTTTCTCTACTCTAACTCTGTACAAAGTTGGTTAATTTGACTGACCTCGTAACCACCAAATGAAATCTAAATTACCCTTTTCTTTCAAGAAAGATTTCAACTTGTAACATGAAACTACATTTGTTTATCCTAAGTAGCTTTAACTCTTTCAGACATTTGTGCTTGTTATAGTTTCATGGTATAACTTTTAAATTAGTAAGCATATGTTAACATAATTTGACAGATTATCAGTAAACATTACAAAGCTTTCATAAGCAAACTATCAAATTTTTCTTATTAAGTCTTAAGGTTTGTAAAGCAATCTTTTCTCATGCCTTTTTTTTTCTTTTCGCATGTTGCCTTTCAAACATGCAAAGTAATTTTCATTTTAAGATTAAAAATACTTCTATGGATCAGAAAATTTTCAAATTTCACATGCAAAATCTTTATTATGTCCAGATAGTTAACAAACATTTTTTAAGAAAAAACTTTATATTTTATCTGTTATTATAATTAACGAATCTCTGTACAGGTTCAGTAGATTTGACCAATCTCATAACCACCTTAAAGTTAAGTTTTGCCTCTTTCATTCTAGAATGACAACAAATTATAACACAAAAACATACATAATTAGACTAAATAGCTTAAATCTCATAGCATTATACATTTATATATATTTATTATTTTTATTATAATGACCTTCCAGTCATGCCTGGCTAACAATACAGAAGTTACAACGATGTGGTGTACATAAACTCATGTTACTGTATCCAATAATATAAAACTGACCATTAGTCTTTACAAAGTGAACTGTCTTGGCTGTGTTTTAGAGGACTAGTATTTGGGAAAATACAGTCACATTTCAATTATTATACATTATATATGTATATAGATTAATATTTAAAAATAATTTCTTAAACTTATTTTTCTTAAAACACAGAACAGTAAATAAAGAAGTAAAGCTAACAATTATTTCATCTTGCTACAACCTTTGTACTCAGTTACTACTTCTCGTAGCTTGCTAAACCTTAAGAAGTTTTGCACATGGAGGATGTGAAAGAAAATAATTTTTTTTAGGTTTTATATATACAGTTGAATAACCATAAAATCATAAATTACCATATTAATACCACAGAATTCCACTAAAATTTATCAAGGTTAGTAACTAAGCTCTATTTTGGTCTAAAAAACATTAAATATCGAGCAGACTAATAACACAACTTACCTCCTTAAAATCTTGGTTTGAAATAACAAGATCGCATCCCAACAATTTAAAATGGCTGAGAAAGCCACTATGGGGACATTCTGTGCTTTTGATTGTTTATTCATGTCATATATAGAAATTAGTGTATATAAGGGAGCATTTCCAATGGAAAGAGGTGAGCAGGGAGCCCACTGTGTTTGATTCAGTACACTAGTGGTATCTTAGCAAATAGGAATGATAAGAGGTTCTCATTTTATATTCTAGCTTGTCAATATCGGTAATTTGAGTTCCTAATTCATATGAAACTATAGACTTAGTATTTTGACATCACAAACATCTAATTTGAACCAGTGCTGCATTCAATATACTATGTGACACACATAAATTGATGTTTAACTGTTTTTTAATCTTTACATTTAAATTAAGAAATTTAATAATGTATAATACTAAGATTTGAGTTATAATCTATAGTTTGATACCAAAATTATTGAGATAAATTCATGAAATAGTAGTTCAATAAAATTTTGAATGCGAGTCAACAAACGCTATGACATGGCTTTTTACCCATCTGGAAAATGTTAAACTCGTAACAGTATACATCTATTTATACTTAAATTTTATTATTTTACTGCCCTTTGAACCATGTCTAACTACTATTCGTGCTATTATAATTGTAAATAATTTGGGGTATGTTTAGCTCATGTTATGCTATCAAATTATATCACTGACTAGCTACTCCAAGCTGCTGGCGTGTGTGCCTCATGAAATTTTTTATTATATTATTATTATTTATTTTTCCTAATCTAACCTTAACTAATCTAAAGAGTTCCCTAATTTTACATTATAGTTACTTTTATAATAACAAATAAAGAATACACATGAAAAGTGAGAAATAAAGTACTTAAATAAGCCAGAATATTAACATGTGTGGCAAGAGGAGCTTGATTTTCTATTTGGTGGCTCTGTAACCAAACAAGATTGAAGGCTATGGAAATTATGCTTTGCCTGAGCAATGAGAACATTGTATTGATCAATTATAATACCGTGGTGAGCAGATAGTCCATTGTGTAGCTTTGTACTTAACTTCAAACAAACAAACAAAAGTTACAATTTTATGCTATACTAATTGATATAACATGAATAAAAAGTACTTTTAATTAAATTTTGAATATAACTCACTAAAAAACCTTGAGATATGTGCAGTAAAAGATGCCCATAGAGAGAGAGAGTTAAAACAGAAATTTATATTTTATAATACAGAAATTCTGAAAAGAAATTATATAAAAATTCCCAAATTACCTGACTTACACCTCCTTCTGCTGCATTTCCTGCAAAAAAAAATGTTTTAAAACAATGTTACATCGAAACAAACTCCCTTACTCATCTACATTTTATATCCTTGTAAGTCAGTAAGTCTTGTATCCAAACTTACATTTCCATTAAGGAATTTTTAAGTATTTGAATGCAACTACTGTACAAAGGATTCAATTAAGAAATATAAACATGTATTCAAAAAAAGTGTTAAGTCATTAGCTAGAAGGATACTACACCACATGTAATACACTGTTGAACTACAAATGAATACTTATCAAATTTATGAAAGAACTTTCAACTGCATCAATCAGACAAAATATGATTTTAAATTGAAGGAGCAATATGAAGTCTCATAAAAAGAAGTATACAACACTTGCAAAACAATATTTTCATTGATAACAAATCATTAATGTTTAGCCTGAACAGAAAATTGGCAATAACCTGATTAACCTCTTCTAGCACCTTCTGCTCAAAGTTTTATCACATTCACTAATTCAAAATAAACTATAAGTGTGTTTGAAATTATTAAGAAATTTGGCTAAAGGTCTAGAAAGTACATTTACAGTCTGATCTAGAAAAGTAGAAGAGATGATAAACTTAAATAAATGTTTTTGCTTTAACATTTAACCCAAAAGACATATCACTAGAAAGACCCTTTCTAATGATTAATATTAGAACTAACTGGAAAATAAATTAAATCAAATTAACTGAACTTAGATATAAGCATCTTTAATGAAACATTCAAGCTCACAATTTTTAGTAAGACAGACACTTTTAATTTTGAAGTTATGAAATTTTCATCTCTAAATACAAATCTTCCAAATAAATCATATTGCAATATTTACAACTCACAAATGTGTTCAATTTCAAGATTTGGAGTATAGAGCTCATAAATTCCTTCTGATTTTTTTACAAACAAGGTTGTTTTTTTCCTATCACTTTTCTAACACCACATTTATTCACTTTTATAGTAATTTCACAAATTTTCTTGCTACTAATTACAATAGAATTAATAACTTCACAGACTATCACAAAACTATTATGTCTACATCTTTATTTCTTATCTAAAGTTTTACAGCAATAATGAACAGCATTGGTTTGTTAAACACCTCTACCAGTTGTACCTTCCATCAGTTGAAGCTCTCAATAATAGTTAATACAGCTGTATAACAGTGAATAACTACTGACTGGTTATGAGGGCAACAAATAATCTGTTGCCCAAAATCTACTTCCCCTCTTTTGTTTTCAGTTTTACTAAAATCTGATTAATTAGCATTGTCACATAGTATATTTAGCCTACATACCATGGCCTACACGTAAATTTTAAAGTTTGAAATTTTATCAAATATTTGGATCTCATTCTAAGAATCAGTAATAAATCAATAAGATTTATCAATTAATTCAAAAAATATAACAGCCCATCATCACATGATCATACCAATAATATAACTGTATATCTTCAGCACAGAATTTGCCTAGAACGCTGACAAGACTTCTGACAATGTTTGTAAATAAAGCCCAAATGAATCAGGTTGTTTTCACTGTGCATCAAAAAATTGTAATCTCCAAAGTTCTGCTGCCTGACGTCTTTGCAGCTTTTCATCTACTAGTAACTGAAATTTTATGTCCTAAGATAAATCCATATTCATTTTATGGGTTTGAGTAAATTGTTTGTACTTATGCCTGAATAAATTAATGTTTTCACTGTGCACCAAAAAACTGCCATTTGAAATGGTCTGCTATAATATCATTTATACATAGCAATGGCTTTTACAACTGAGTAACATATATGTGATTTGTTGCTCAGCTTTCAAGGCAACATTGAAAAAATGTTTCAAACTGCACGATGCATTCACAGCCAATCACAGCAAAGAATTAATGCTAAAAGGTAGAGTAATTCCTTTTACAGTATAAAATTTTATCATTAGTTTAGCTGTTATTTTCAGTTAATTACTTTAGTTATCATAATTATCATAGTTGTTATTTCTTTAAATCTTATTGTTACTGTTATCTTATTATCACTTATACATTTCAGTTAGTTCTTAGGGTTTAATTTTTATTTATTACTTCCCACTGTCTGCTCTTTAAACTGACCATGCATATAGGGGTTAGTTACATTCAGGTTAGTTTTTAATTTTAAGAAACAGCTCACAGTATGTTTCATAACACATTTTTAATTATATTTAACCTGGTTATTTATATTAGTACATTATATTTTTCTATTTATTTCTAAAAACAGTAATTTTCTGTAGTACTATCTATACCATCCTGCTACTTGACCATATTTAAACAGTGTTCCATGAATCACAGTAATTTATCTCAGAGGTTAAGCTTTGTTACATTGTTAAAGCCATTAAATTGGCTGTCATTGCCTACTACATCTTGTTTGTTTCGTTGTTAAGGATAAAGCTACATAATGGGCTATCTGTACTCTGCTTACTACAAGAATCAAAATGCAGATTTTAATGCTATAAGCCATGAGGCTTATTGTTGAGTTACTGAGGGGCATATATTGTTAAGAAGGATTATATAAAGTTTTGCATATAGTGGTGTTAACCTTTTAAATGGAGAGGTGATAATGCATGAAGCAAACAACTAGTTTTTACATTTTGTAAGTCCTATTCTTTCTTTCTTTAATTTGATTCATTAAACAATACTAGTTATAACATTTAAAAAGTATACTTTTTCATTTTTTATTATATATATACATATACTATGCATTTTTTTATAATGAGGATAATTATGCCTTGTTAACATAGTACGTCCATTAAGCCCAAACAAAAAAGTCTTAAAATGGGCAAACCTCATGTGATATTGTTGGGATTATGGACAAAAATAACTTTAGCAGTGAGAGCACCCAATTAATGAATCAATGCATTCTAACCACTACAAGTTAACATTTGTAATTATATTAGGTAAATTCATTAATGTAATAAATTTTAATTCTATAATCTATGAAGGTAATTTGCATTTGGTCAGAAGTTAATACCAATTAACATTTTATTTCCAATTAATGAATCAATGCATTCTAACCACTACAAGTTAACATTTGTAAATTATATTAGGTAAATTCATTAATGTAATAAATTTTAATTCTATAATCTATGAAGGTAATTTGCATTTGGTCAGAAGTTAATAACAATTAATATTTTATTTGCAATTAATGAATCAATGCATTCTAACCACTACAAGTTAACATTTGTAATTATATTAGGTAAATTCATTAATGTAATAAATTTTAATTCTATAATCTATGAAGGTAATTTGCATTTGGTCAAAAGTTAATACCAATTAACATTTTATTTGCAGTTCAGGGGCATAATGCTAACAGAACAAAAGTTCAGTTGCACAAAATATTATGCACAGCTTTAAAGTAAAGCAGTGCAAGAAATACAAAAATGGCTACTTTATATATTTACAAAAACATATCTCCAATATGGCATTGCTAGAATTTTACTAATACATATAAATATTTCATGCTAAAATAAATATAGCTAAAATGTTTTTATCTATACATTACATATTTTCTATAGCTTTGTTGAATTTACTGTTAAATGAGTTAAAACTACTCTGACTTGCTAACAGCTACCAAGAGTTAAAATTTCCTTCAGAAATCCCCTCTAGTGATCACAATCTACATGTAATATATTTCATCTTTGGTAATTACCCTAATGCATTTTTTTAAAATCTGATTCTATCATCTATTGAAACTAAAAAATATTTTCACTCACTTTCAGCATCTATAATTCGTCCAAAAGCAGATATGGCCATATTTTCCTTCTGTTCCTGAGACAAAGGCTTAGTGATTTCTGCCAGATTTAGCTGTTTCAGACGTCTTGCCCCTTTCGACTATAAATATATTTTCCTTTTTAAAGAAGCTACCTTCAATTAAATCACTACTTGGTGTAATGAAAATATTACCTACAAAGTTTATTCATGCTAAAAATATAGGAATTTGATGATAAATACTGTAAATCACAGGATTATGGGAATCATAATATTTTTATGATTAAAATTTACTATATTTCACAAGAAAATACACATGCCAAAACTTTCTGAAGTTTAACTTATTTCCTTAACTTATAATTTTGGTTTACTACCTGGGTTCCTGTAGGAAGAAGAGTAAGTGGGGTTTTGTCTTTTTTCTTTGAAATTCGCTGTCCACCTACAGAGAAAAACATGAAGGCTGTAAACATAAACTCAAATATACAAAAAAATACTACAAAAACTAAGCCACATGTTAAATATCAAATGTATAAAATAACCAACTAACTTAACATTGTAGGAAATTTTAAAATGATGGAATTAACAATACTGAGATTATCTTAAAATGTAATTAAAGTACACAACATAAAAGGTATTTCATGAAAAAGTTATATTTCATTCAAACTTTAGTTAACACTGAACATTTGGTTGATGTAAGTGTCCATCAGAATCAAGTTACTATCTAAGTAAAGCCTAAACTCTCTTACTATGGGCTTGGTCAAACTGGCTGAGTTTATGACCCCAAATTGACCTTTACAGTTTCCATATTATAACTTCTAATATGTTTTATGTATCATTAAGAGTTATTTTTAGATAAAAAAAAATTGAATTTTTAATGAAGTATTTTCACTAAAAAGTTCTCCATGAATATATGGAGTCAAAGTGTGACTACTCTGAGTGCAAAGTGATTTTCATGTTAAGATTAAGAATACTTTTCTTTGTCTCAAAAACCTCAAATTTCATTTGCATAATCTCTAAAGTTTCCTAAATGAATTTCAAACGTTTTTTTCCCATAAAAACTATATTTTATCTGTTGTTTTCTCTAACCTAAATCTATACAAGGTTAGTCAACTTGATTAACCATGTACCAATAAAAAAAACAACTTAAATTATCCTTTTTTATTTCTAGAATGACTTTGAATGATGTACCATGAAACTACATTTATTTATCCTAAATAGCTTTGAACCCGTAACAGTATACATCTGTTTATATTTAAATTTTATTGTTTTATTGTCCTTTGAACTATGTCTAACTAATAATATTCGCATCATACAAGTTTTGTTTTTGCTGGTGACTGTTAATGACATTTAACCCTACTTATTTTTATACTAATTGTACAACTGCATTAAATAGTTTTTTATTTAATTAAATAATTCACCAAAGAACATAGAATAATAATGTGCAAAAAAACAGACAATGTCCCATAAATATAACAGTGTTTCTGGCTTTCTAACTGTGCAACAAGAGCTGTTAAAAATTCAACTAAGCTCATTGATATATTTTCCACAAGAATAAAGTTTCAACAGGAAGTGAAATAAACAATTCTCTGTGCATAAAACAATGTAATATAATACATCACTTCATTGAATAAAACCTTGGCTATCTATTGGTTATAAATAATATAGTATTAAATGTCAAAGAGAACTACTGGCAATTTCTGTAAGAGAGGATGCAACAAGTGGGCACAGCAAGAAGGGTCTGATTTTCTATTTTATGACTCTGTAACTAAATAAGATTGAAGGCTATAAAAATTATGCTCTGTCTAAGTTATGACAACATTACAATGAGTAATAAAATTTCATACTTCTTAGAGGGGTGGTAAATAAATTAAAGAAGAGCTGCATAGAGAGAAAATGTCACTCATACTAGGGGAAATTCAGGATTTTTTTAATACTGCCTTATAAAATTAAGAACTTAAAACTTATATAGTATTAAAATTTGGATTATTAGCTAAGGTTTAATGCAAACTTTATTCATATACCATGATATGAAAGTTGTTTAATTAAATTTTGAATGTAACTCACTAAATCCTCGTAACCTACACAGAAAAAGATGCCAGTAATGAAATTGTTAATACTAAAAGATATATAAACTTATTTTCATTTTAATATACTAATGTTAAGTAGTTTCTTCAAGTAGTTTTATGTGTCAATGCATTAACACTGACTGATGTGAAAGTGTGTCTACATAAACAAATCTGTTTTTATTATTGCATCATTTTTTACTGTTTCAAAGGACCTTTAAAGTTTTAAAAATTGGAACTTTTTATTTACGTTTAGACATCAAAATTAATATTCAAATAAATACCATACCTACTACAGTGGCAATGGTGTGTTTAGGGGATGTTCCTCCATCATCTTCTTCTTCAGGCTCCTATAAATGAGATTGTATTTTCTCTCTTTTAACTATACATTTGGCACCTATTTTAAAAGTCTTTAAGTAATGATCATATCTTTCACAAGTCAATTGATTTTTAAAATACTGCATACTGCACTTCTTTAAACATTTAAGAAAAATCTGTTCACTGTTTTTAAAAGTACATAATCAACTCATACTTTCTTAACCAACTGAGTTCATAAAGAAATATGACTTGGTCACTTACAGTTACACTTAACATCATCTCCTCAACACCTTTTCCAATTCCTGCTGCAGTCATCTGTGTACTAATGAGTCGAGCAAGATGTTTGATTTGGCCTTCAGTACCCGCGACTGAAATGGGAGTGTAAGAAGCTTGGAAATGGGCTGGCATGGTATCTGGCAGTGACAGCTGTGGGTTAGATAATGGAATTAGACAAGGTAAATTATTGGATTAATATTGATTATGTATTGACAAAATAATATTAAAAGTATAAAGATCCACACTTGTGTGGCAAAAAACCCATTAGTCATGAAACAAGCTCATCAAAACTCTCTCTCTTAACATTAACAACGAATCAAATGCTGCTTAAAAAGCAGTTTGAAATATTGTTCATCCCATATTCTAAAACCTTCAAAATGAGAATTGCTCACAACAGCATTAGCCAGACAGGAGTTCAGAACAGGGTCTCTTAGTAAGCATGACGTTTGAAAATTGTTAATTTTTTAAGTACGTTTTAAACATCATCTAGCTGTAAATACAGTCTACTAACATTTTATCTAATTGTTTAAGAATACTCACCATGCTGATCAATACTAAATCTGTTACATTAACAGAAACAAGACGAGATACTAAATCCTCTGCTGTTATATCAATGGCAGTGTTGGTAGCTGCTTTTGAAATCCTTAATGGCTTTTCTTCTTCCTCATCTTCTTCCTCCTCATCCTCTTCCTCTTCTTTTTCTTCTTCCTATAACACCCGTCCAAGCAAAAATTATGACACAACTTACATTTTACAATACTGGTTATAATAATTATTTCCACGTTCCAGATCAAGACACAAAGATTGCATTGTTAAAAACTTTTTGTTTTCACAGTTTTCCTATTATTAGTCAAAAGCTGGTTCAAATCATTTGCAATTCCAAGTCTCTGATAAAGATGTTTTTTTTTAATCCTAAGCATTAGGAAAGCACAATTGATTGCTTTAAATTTTAAATCAAGCCTTTTTTTGCTAGCTTTCATACTCTTGATGACATGAATTGAAAGTACAAATTTATTGGCCAGCTTGTGTATTTGAACACTAAGAGCTATTTCGGTTGTGCCCATCTCAAGGACCAAACCCCGATATTGAGCATTAAAAGGCCTCAATCTTACTGCTGAGCCATCAGGTGACTTTTTTTTCCATATAAATCTTGATGAAGAGCAGTTGCTCGAAATGTTACTCAATGAAATAAATATATTTCTATATCAATGCTACATTTTTACATTGACTTTATTTTAGTTATTACTAAGGCATATGAAGAAAAGTTCTAGAATGTGCTTATTACAAGTAAAGAAATTAACACTGAATTTATTGGTAAATAACGTTTGACAGGAGATATTCACTATGCACAAACAACTATGATGTAGACAAGAAGAAAATGACAAAGCAAACTGAATAAGATAATCAAAATTTTAGATCTTTTACTTTATATAAAAAAAAATTCATAAGCCCATACATGTGGTTAAATTATTGATATATCAACTATGATATTTACTGCAAGGAAATTATTAGTTTACATATAAATCATCTATCATGGAAAATATGCTCATTACAATTTTCATCTTCTTATAGCTTTGTTGCTCTCCATCATCATCCTGATCTCTTCTCTGTCTTTTTCCAAGTTCCTCTGCTCCTGGCATGTTCTTTGTGATCTAAAGCAAAGAAAATATATCCACCACTTGTAGAAATGTTAACATAACATTATTTTCTGTACTGTTAATCTTTCATGTGACACATTCTCAGAAAACAGAGTTATTGAAAAAGGGGAAAAATTTAACAATATACCAGAACTGTGTGTACATACAACAAATCCATACAATTAAAACCCCACAGTACAAAGAAAATACCATGTTTGCTTAACCCTTTAAACAGGAGCCTGGCTCTTCTGCATGTCATGACATTTATACAGTTTCAAAGAGTTACATTCAAAATTTAGTTAAAAAAACAAATTTATTATTAACTCTTTCCATATGGGGTCAGTGGATTTCACCAACCTTGTAGCTATAAAATAACCATCAGTTTCCATACTTTAACTTTTATTGCAGTAAGTGTATATTCACATAATTTGGCAAACTTTCAGTAAACATTAGAAGCCTTTTGTATACAAAAATCTATTTTTTTAATCAACTATTTTTACAGAAGATTTGTCTGTGAATATATAGAGTCAGAGTGTTGACTGTTCTGAGTATAAAGTGATTTTCATGTTATGATTAAAGATATTTCACTTCATCTGAAAATTTTGAAATTTCATTTTTCTAACCTCTAAAACTTCCTAAATAAATACCAAAACATTTTTTTTCAGTAAAACTATATATTTTATCTGTTATTCTCTATATAGACTCTGTCGATTTGACCAACCTTGTAACCACCATAAAAAAATTCGAAATAAATCTAAATTACCCTTTTATTCTTTCTAGAATAATGGCAGATTATAACAAGAACCTACAACTGTGTATCCTAAATAGATTAAGGATCCTAACAGTACACATTTGTTTCTACTTAACTTTATTGTCTTATTGCTCTTTGAACTGTGTCTAGCTAATAAACCCACAATGTCACTCACTGAATGCGTAGGCCACATTACCATATTGAATTACGTAATGCACAAGTTACTCACGAGAATATCCCATGAAGCATTACTATTTTTCATTATCTTAACTAATTTAACATAACAAGTTTTTAATTTTTACATTTTAGTTACTTTTATAACAATAATTAAAGATACACATGATGGTACTAATACACTAAATACCTTTTTGCATGTAAGAACACTGAATAATAACACACAGAAAAAAACATTTCCTATAACTGTTAAAATTGAATTGGGTTTCTAAGACAAGAAGAGCTTAAAATAATTCCCTTAGCTGCTTGATCTGAACACCATGTGATGAACTTTCAAACTGAAGACAAAATTGACAATACTCTGTACTGAAAACAACATAGCATTATATGTCATTTGATAGATTAAAACGTTGCCTTTCTATTGGTTATAGATGATGTAATATAAAATGTGTGAGAGAGAATTATTGGTAATCTGCAAAAGAGAAGATGTGACAGGTGGGTGTGGCAAGTGTGACTATGTATACAAAAATTAGACTCTACCTATATTATAATAATATCTATATTATAATGAGTAAATTATTTTATATTTCAGAGAGTGGTGGTACATATATTTGAGAAGAGGGGAAGACCTAGAGAACAAATATCATGACCTTCATACAAGAGAAGATTGAGGATTTATTCAAAAATGTCCTTATGAAATTAAAACTTGTATAATATTATAACATTTGATTTATTAACTACATTTTGATGTCAAGTTTATCCATATACATTGATGATAAAGTTACTTAAGTGGTTTAAAGTTTGGAATATAACTTTGTAAAAGATTGTGACATGCACTTTGACCTTCCCATAATGAGAGGGTTAATGTACGTCAATAAAATTAGCATTCAAATTTTTATATTATCCAAGTTTTAATTTCTTAATTTCAAAAGGAAATATTTGAAAAATTCTTAATATTTCAGTTTGTATAACCAATATTATAGCAGCTTCTGACTTATCCTAAACAACACAATCTATAAACAGTACAGTATCAATGTCATAATTTCTCCCTATAGTGAGAAATCAATCCACAACAGACAACCAACCCACCTATCCTTTACTTTCAAGGCAGTTTTCAAAACCACGTGCACTTATTTGACACATGTTTATAACCAATAGAGAGAACTTAGTTTCAATTTCATAATTTCAACAATCCTTTTGAAATTGACACCAAAAGACATTCAACTAGAAAATAATTTGATTAGTTACACATTGGTATGTGAATTGATGCTCATACAATTTAAAGATTTTTTTTACCTTAAATAGCTTATTTAGAAAACCAATTGAATTATAGTTATT